CGAGATCGTCACCTCCTTAAGCAGGTGACAAGGTGCCTACGAACAACCCTCCTGCTCCACAAGATCCGTCATCATTTATGTGGGACCCCCCGCCTCAAACCGCCCACAAAACGTAACTTTATTCGAAAAAGTAATGCACAGATCCCAATGTATCAACCCGAAATTACTATAAATAGCGGGCCCATGACATTTGTACGGATCTCTCTCCGAACTGAAAAAACTTGATTAAGCAACACGTAAAAGCCCATCACGGCTCTTCACCTCGGTTCACCTCGGACCGGGGCCATTGTTGAGTTAAATCTTACATGCTTTACGTCCAAATCATTCCAAATTATCCACTTAATCACCAATTATATCGTTGTTAAAAATCACATAACAACAGGTTTCTAGCCTTCCAGATTTCCCACAAGATGTATGCTGTAAGCTGAAGTCTGTCATCAGTGGTTGGCCCTTTTTTCATTGAACACAGAGAATTCCACCAGCATTTGAAATCATCATTTTCCTGGGTCAGTCCATCCCAATTCACATGAGAAAGCTTCCAGATCAGCTTGGCTCTCTCACAGTGGAAGAAAAGGTGTTCAGTAGTTTCTGGTCCTTCCCCACAAGCTTTACAAATCACATCCACTGAGATTCCTTTTTTTATCAGGTTACTTTTCACTGGGAGGATGTTAGAATAACATTTTCAAAGGAAATGCTTAATTTTTCCCCTTGACTATCAAAGCCCAACTATTCTTTCTGAGGATATATAGGTAACACCCCTATATAAAGAGGTGAATATGTTCATTTACATTATACGTTCTCTACACACTCTAAATGGTTACAGAGCTTTATATATACTCTTCATCTCTCTATCATTGCAGACTGGCTTGATCGTCATAGTGCTAATGCTAGAAATCCCTTTCGGCCGATTTTGGAGGTCTACGAATAAGTCAGGAGGCAGACCAAGTCGTCCAAACCTGGTCCAGATCGTATGCACACCAATACTGATAATAAATTAGATAATAAATATGCAGAAAATAATAATCAAATTAAATTACATTTGTAATATTTAAATATTTTTAAATTAATGAGAATAAAAAGAATATTGTGGAGTAAATGTACCGCAAACGGTTAGAGACGAAACTTGATTTCTGTTTCACAGTATAGTAAACTTTGCATTAGAGTAGAAATAAAAGTTGGAGATGACCTTATTGTGATTTTTTTTAAAGGTGTTGTCGGTGTGTTGTGAAATGTCAAAGTTGAGCTTTTTTGTTTGTTTTGAGATAAGAAATTTTATGAAACGGATTATCATGTGATACGGCGATGATCGACGAATGTTTGGTAATTTCGACATAAAACCGAAATCCATTGTGCTACCCCTTTCGGTTCGGTTTCGGTTTTACATTTCATTGTTAGTGTTACCGAAACTTTAGGTTCGGTTGGGTAATCCCATGTTCTGTTACTTTCGAATCCAGCCCTACCGCCAATTGTCCCCTCTTTTTATAAAATCCTTTGTGTTCCCCCATTATTTTTTTTTTTTCTCAAAATAGTTCCTTCCCTTTCAATGTTAATCAATAAACCCTATCAGCTAACACCGTCACAATCTCCAGAAAAATGCCGCTTCTGAGAGAAGAATTTTCCGATACAGAGTCCGAAGATGATTTCAACGACGATATGGAAGCCCTAAAAAGGGCTTGTCAAATAACCGGCAAAAATCCAGCGGACAACAATCTTCAACTGATTACCACCGCCGATGCTACTGCCTCGCCGGAGGTGGAGTCTGATGGAGAAGGAGATCAAGATCTTGAATTGGTGCGGAGTATTCAGGAGCGATTCGCTGTTCCCATGGATTTATTTGAGGACGAGCCGCTGGTGATGAAACCTTTGTGTACTCTGCCACCGGATTGGTCTGATGTCGATGATTGTGAAGATGATTATGAGACCCTTCGAGCTATTCAGCGCCGTTTTTCTGCCTACAATGAAGGTATTTGTTGTCTCCTTTCCCCTACGATTTATTTAGTTACTCCTAATTAATTTTGCGTTTGGTAGCATAGGATTGTTGTTTTGATTTTGGAGGGAGTTGTTTTTTTGGATCATATGTATGAGGCATAATCTTAAAGTAAGCCTTTACTCGATCTGTTGTGTAAGACAGAAAGTGATCGTTTTGAATGTGATCTGGTGTGTGAGGCAGAAAGTGATCATTTATAATCTGAAGTACTTCTATGTTCTATATTTCGTCTGAGAGCTTGCTTCATTATGGAAAAGATTTTACCTGAACTTGCACATCTTCTGTTAAATTTAAAACTCTGTTGTTGTCAATCTAATTGTTCTTTCAGACTCTGCCTATTTTAAAAACTCTCTAGTCACTTGGTGATGCACATAGGTTGTATGTTAAATATCATTGTTTGTTATCATTGGATACAGATGGCATGGGACACAACATGGATGACCTCTTACATAGACCTGCTCAGGTTGGTTCTAGTATCATAGATTCAGAAAAGGATAGTTCCAATAGCTTTGTTGAGAAAACTAATGTTCGACAAGGGTATATCAACTGTGTAGATGCAAGTGTGCCCACAAGCAAGAAAGCAGGGGCACACGAAGATGCTGGTAGAACACAGCCTGCTGATTTAGTCGAATGGGATGGGCCTGATACTGAAGATGTGGCTGGGTTGCCTTTCAAAAGTTCCGATTTCCCAAAGTGTGCACTGGCATTTATTGATGCTATTAAAAAGAATAGATCTTGCCAGAAGCTTGTACGGAGTAAGATGATACAAGTGGAAGCCAGAGTTGAAGAACTCAGTAAACTGATGGAACGTGTGAAAATCCTGAAAGACTTTCAGATTGCTTGCAAAAAGAGAACTGGGAGAGCCTTGTCGCAGAAAAAAGATGCTTGTGTGCAGTTAATTTCAGTGCCAAAACTAAGGGCAAATGCAAAGGTTTTATACTACTACTGCCACTTCTCTGTTCTGGGATTCCATGTGTTTCTACTCTTTTTATTATTGGTTTTCTTCATTCATTAGTGTGCGTGCTGGTGTTTCAGTTTGTTGGGTGCCAATGGTATGACCTTGTTGGAATTCAGTTGGTACCCTGTTGGCCACTTCATTGTTCGTTTTATTTATCATCTTATGTTGTTATGATGTGGATAATGTTTGTCTTTGTTGTTTATTTCTTGTTTCTTTTGATGGATCAGCTAGTATCTTAATATTTCTAAATGTTACAATAAATTGTTAAATTGTATCATATCGATTTATTTTGACACTCAAAAGTAATTTTCAATCCTGCAGTTCAATGAAAAGATCCCTGCCTATTATAAGGGGCCTCCAGAAAATGCACATGTTACTTACTATAAGGAGGCATTGACAACATTTGCTATCAATGTTAGTAGGGAGAATTGGTCAAAGCAAGAAAAAGAGAATCTTATAAAGGGTGTGAAACAACAGTTTCAGGAAATGTTGCTTCAGCAATCTGTTGATCTCCTCAGGTGTGTTTCTCCCTGACTTAGTTGTATAACAATGATAAACTTGAACTCTTTCTTTATGTGGAATTCTTCCTTCAGTTTTAAATATATGAACCTTTCTGTTGTGCAACTGCAATCTGAGCATTAGCAAGGCAATCTATTTCCTTACCTTTTAAAATATCACAATTGGTCATACAATCTTTTTAAGGTGATAATTTAGAATGTTTATGTTCTCGGCATTAATGAACCTGAATTTTGGTGGCAGTAGTCCTCAGATTGCAGTTGCACAGTATTAGTAATGAACCTGAAATTTGGCGTGTTTACATAACTGATTAATGAACCAACTAACCATTTCGATTTTGGTGAACTAACAAGCATATATCATAATTAGAAGAAAACAGAGATTTAATAGGGGCAGTTAAATGTTAAAGAAAATAAAGCAATGGTAGACTGTTTAAGTATATGGAAATTAGTGTGGCGTAAAGGAAACCAAAATCCAATATCGAAGGCATAATTGGACTTAGCCATCTAATCTTTGAACCCTTGCACAAATGTTTTAGTGTTCTTTATTTCTTGTCTACTCTCATTCTTATCTGCAAGATACTGATAAATATTCTTCGCCTCCAGCTTTTTTTTTTTTATTTTTTTTAATTTTAATAAATCACTGCAAGAATATCAATGGGTATGGAGAGGACTTTTATTTTCTTTTCCTCTCAAGTTTAATATGTAAACAGAGATGGTTCCAGGATGAAATCATCAAACAATCATTATTTGTACCCAATATATATTTTTATATCTCCCTAGATTGCTGACATTCATCTTGACTGTCGTTTCTTTTTTAGTTTTCAAAAATTGTCTATGCATAAATATTGGAATTGGACATTACAATAATTGTGAATCTTATTAGAAGGGGGAAGTCCAAGTAAATTAATGTCAGCTTGAACTATTGGAGCGGAAAGTTGTATTAATATCTTTCGAGTTTCTTCATCATGTTAGAGTAGTGTCATAATTACCCAACTTTCTGCCCTTGTCAATTTTGACTTTTGCATTACTTTTATATATGTTATTATTTTGTAATTTTTTTCGAAATACTACTAGCAGAACTTGTTTTTAGTATTTAAATGATGAATTGAATCTCATTTGTGTTGTTTGTTTGTAGCGACGAAGATGGGTCTTATGATCCTGGTAGGGTTGACAGCGTTCTTGTATCTATTAGAGATACTGACATAACACCTGATCAAATGAGATCATTCTTGCCCAAGGTCAACTGGGAGAAGCTAGCTGCTATGTATCTTCCTGGCCGGTCTGGTGCAGAGTGTGAAGCAAGGTAATTTAGGCTGTGGTGTCTCTACAGGGAAATGATTTGTCCATCATTTCTTTATTTTCTTTTTTTTCTTTTTTTTTTCAGTTGCATGCTAAATAGATTGTTGTAAACCTTGTTTGCTGGCATCCTCATAGAATAACAGGTGATAGTTATGTAATACAATAATACATGGCAGTCTGTTCACCACACCCAATCAGGCATAAATTAGTAAGAGAAACACTCAGTGGACATTGCACAAGTGCCCCTCTTGTATAATTGTTTGTGAGCGTGGAAAATGAGAAGACAATTGTGTGGGACATATTTAATATAGTTGTGCCCTTGTCTAGGGAATTATAAATTATTTGATCACTAAAACATGTTCAATGTCATTCATGTAGCCCATCTTATGCATTTCATGCTGTCATTTGCAGGTTTTTAAATTTTGACGACCCTTTAATCAATCACAAGCCCTGGACCGCGATCGAGGACAAGGCCATTTTGCATATAGTACAGCAGAAGGGGCTAAGTAACTGGATTGATATAGCTGCATCACTGGGAACAAACAGGACCCCCTTTCAGTGTTTAGCACGGTACCAGAGGAGCCTCAATGCTTCTATACTCAAAAGAGAGTGGACCAAGGAAGAGGATGACCAACTTCGGACAGCTGTGGAAACTTATGGTGAGAGCAATTGGCAAGCTGTTGCTTCTATGATGGAGGGACGAACAGGTACCCAATGCTCTAATAGGTCAGTAAGTTGGAGTTTTAAGCTTTTTGCATTTTTCTTCTCTTCTTTCGAAAATTATCCCGTTGTAAATTATAATTCATTTTTATATTTTTATTTTGTTTCTGCGTTCACCTTATGGATTTAAAGCACCAAGGTACATTTCATTTGGAATTTTCATTAGGTGAGAAAAAAAAGTTGAAGGAAAAAAAATATGTTTTGGTACCCAAGTTTACATGATTTTCGCATTTGGTGGCCGATGTTCCAACTTAATGAATTTTGGTACCCAATGTTTGGTTTGTTAATCAATTTTGGTTCATCCATTAATTTTTGCCTTTAAATACTAATGGCAATGTCAAATTTTAAGTAAATAAAAAATCTATTAAAAAAAAAAAAATATTAATTAATAATTAACAACTCAATAAAATATTATAGTAACATTTATCAAAGAATTATTTTTATTTTCTTTGGTTGTCTCCCCGTTGTCGTCATCCGTGGCCATCAGTTATCATTGGTAGATATAAACAAATCAGTACCCTTTTGAAGCTCTTGACTCAATCTATATAATGACACCTCCAATTTAATCATATGATACCTCAAACTTTGTTCTATCATGGTTAAAGGTTTGAAAAATACACAAAAATGCATCTCATATTTTACATGAAGGAGACCCAACTTCGGATTTTTAGGAAAAATATGTTAAGAAGTCCATTTTATTTAGGGATCCAATGCTATCTCCGTTAGTCTATCAGAGCTTCTAATCGTCGGAACTACGCCAACAAAGTCTTCAAATTTCTAGCTATGCGTGGTGGCGCCTTTGAAACTTCAACTGGCGATTAACGGTGATCCGGTTGTTCAAAATTGATGGGTGAGATCTTCTTTTGTTCATCCTCTCATGGGATACAATTGCCCTTATCAATTGCAAGTTTTGAGTTCATAGATGCGTCGTTAACTGGAGCCTGAATTTATAGTTTTTAATTTTGCATTTTTTGGTCTTTTTTTTTTTCAGTTCTCATCGAATTCGACGGATTTTTCGGCACCAGTAGTTTTTGACTAATTTTTAATGAAATGGGTCAAAATTGATTAACAGAAGAAATGTTGGGTATCAAAATTGATTAAGTTGGAACATCGGTTGTTACCAAAACTTAAAAGCAGGTAAAGTTGGGGTGCCATAAATTGTTTTTCCCCATACTATTTAAATTGCGAATTGAAATGAAATGAAAAAAAAAATAAAATTGATTGAAGTTTGTATTATTTAGTTGTGCATTGTTACAATTAGAGTTGCTTGATGAAATTTTAAAAAGAAAAAAAAAAGATTAAAGTTTGTATTATTTAGTTGTGCATGATTGTAGTATGAGTTTCTTGAGGTGCGTGAATGGTTTTTGACTAGTGATTGGTTGGCTTTTATTCTAAAGATATGTTGCAGTAAACAGTGGGAAATATGTGGAAGTAGTGAGCTGTTAAATTTCTGAAAGTGAGTTAATTGTGTAAATTATGAAAAAAAAAAGGGAAAAATAATTCATTGATATGACGTTCACTAGATAAAATTGTCCAATTGCACCTGAAAAATGACGTTATGACTTTATTATGTTGGTTAATTTAGGTGCTCCAAACTCTTTTTTTTTTTTTTTTTTTTTTTTTTTTTTTTTTTTTTTTTTTTCTTGCTTGTGCAGTTCTCACCTGTAGCGAGTTTATACAAATTCTCTTATGCAGGATTTAACCATATGAGGTGAATTAAAATTTGAATGGTAAATGAAAAACAAAAAATTCAATCCAATATAAGTGTTAAGGATATGATTTTATAATGTTAATTTATAATAAAATTACTGGGTTTAGGGTAGTTGTGCTAGAAAAGGTCAGGTCAAACATCAAGCAGAATTTTGAAGTGTTTTATTCAGGTTAAGATGAAGATGTTGATCTCGTGCGTTCTCCCTAAGAGAATTTAGGGAGTCGTGAGGATTTCTAGTGTGCTCAATCTTTTGTGCTTGTTGAGAGTTGACCTTTAGTTTGGTCAATGGTCTCATTTAATTTTAATGGCTTCAAAGCTGAATGATATGATTCTGCTATAGAGAAAATGTTGTGGCTTTGTTGTGATTGTTTATCAACGAATTACTTGTTCTGCGGAATTTTCTTGTAGCCCTTGTGTGCTTTATTACATTGATTGGGCAACTTTAACACACGATGTGCTGACTGCAAGCCGTTGTGCTTATTACACTGATAGCAAAGTTAAACACACAATCTACTGACCTTTTGTTTCCCAACAAGGGACAATAAGCCAATTTACTCCGAGTTTAGTGTAATTACAAAATTACTGTTATCTTTTGATATTGACAACTACCCATTGAAGTGAACTTTTATTTTACATATACCCTATCAAAAAGAATGCCATTTGTTGATAAAAGAAGATTAAGTTGGTTTCGGATGATAATAGATGATTAGGTTCTACTGTTATTAACTTAACTCTAGAGTGTAGTATGTAGAATTATCCTTTCTAATAATACTACACATGGATCGTAATTTGTAAGAATGATGTTAATAGATATTAGTCTAAACTCTTTACACCAACATGAACTTCCAGCTTGCTATTTTCTCTAGAAGCCTGGGCGTTGTTTCTATTTTGTGTATGCTGCAATGAAATTAACATTGAATTTTTCAAGAGTTGATATATATTTTTTTTATATACTTGCTTCAAGTGGTTTACTAATCAAATTAGTTTAATGGGAAAACTGCAGATGGTTGAAGACACTTAACCCTGCTAGGAAAGTTGTTGGAAAATGGACAAAGGAGGAGGATATACGCTTGAAAGTCTCTGTGGCACTGTTTGGACCAAAAATGTGGAAAAATATTGCAAAGTTTGTGCCTGGCCGCACCCAGGTGCAGTGCAGAGAAAGGTATTCTTTTGATAACATGTTTAATTTTAGCATTTATATTTTTTTCAAGCTGTTGGGTGCAGTTTTTAATCAGTGTCATTGGATGGTGCCAGATGGGTCAATTGCTTGGATCCTTCTCTAAGTACGGCCCAATGGACCGAAGAAGAAGATACAAATTTAGAAATGGCTGTTGCAGAGCATGGCTATTGCTGGTCCAAGGTTGCTGCATGCATTTCTCGGCGCACGGATAATCAGTGTATGAGGAGATGGAAGGTTTTGTTTCCAGATGAAGTACCGGTGCTTCAAGCCGCCAGAAAGATACGCAAGGCATTAATATCAAACTTTGTCGACAGGGAGTCAGAAAGACCTGCCCTTGGACCCAATGACTTTGTTATGCCAGAAGAATATCGTATTACTGCATCCAAAAATATTGATCCTTCTAATAGAACGAGGAGAAAATCATCCAAGTATGATTTCTCTGTAATTATTGCTTCTTGTTGGTTGATTTCTTTATTTCTGCATTCTGAATTGTTTTGTCCGTTATTTCCAGGCAAAGGGCTGAACACGAGCGCGATGATGGTGGAGATGCTGTTTCCGGGTAAAGCATATTGTCTATTGATGTCCTTTTGTTTAGTTTTGACAATTGTTGTTAAGTTAGCAGGTGATGTCTATCCGCATGTAGATGTAAGTTTTGTTTTCTTGCTGCAGTGACATTTGCTCAGAAAAAGTTCCAAAGTTAAGTGACCGCAGTGAGGTTGAGAATTTGCAAGGTGGATCAGTTACTAGGAAAAGAAGGTCTAAGAGTAGTTGTTCAATTAATAAGAATGCCGATCCAGCATCTGGTCTGTCTTCACCTTGTCCAGGCACAGCGGTAGTTGATATGTCCATTGATGGTAACGTCAAGAGGAAACTTCGGCCACAGAAAAAGAAAATGAAATTGAGGTCCGTAATCGACCATCATCCCCTTATATATCTTTACTAGTAGTTAAGAAATATATGATAAAAGTTATTTATGTCTAATACCAAACCTAATTCCAGAGCAATAATAATAATATAAAAACAACATCACGAAGCATAGATTTTCGCCATGTCAGCATCTGAAGCGTGAGAATCTGCCATCTAGTCTCAACACGTTCTGAATTAATATATAGAGAGGAATGTGATAATTAAAAAAAAAATCAAAAATCATTCCTGGTTCCAAAAGATCCCAGAGAGGCCAAAAAATCCCTTGAGGTTTGGTTCTGCTTTACATTTAAGGCAGTGACTAAAATATTATTTGTATGAAGTGATTGCTTTTTTCTCAGGTAGGCAGTAAAGTATAAGATGCTTGTCAAATCTTGTTGTTTTTTGTTCTACTTTGTCATAAACTTGAAGGAAAAAAAAATAGATTCAATGGGTTGAAGTTGTCTGTGCATTTGTATCATACATGACTTATTATGTTTTCATCTGCAGTTTGGATTCTGGGTCTGTTGATGCACCACACATAAACGTAGATGAACATCCTACCCCAACAGAAGAATGTTTATTGCCAAATTTGCAGCTTGTGGTTATGAATCCCGAGCATGGTGTCAAGAAGGCTGCTAAGCTGCTGCAATATAGGAGGAGACATCATCCCGTTAAAATAATCGAGACAGCTGGAGAGGGCTCGGTCACCACCAATGAAACAAACTATCATGAGCCGTCACCTTTCCCGGACTCGATGTTGCTCAGGGAGGCTATTTCCAGAATCAAAGCTATGAAAATGGAGATGAAGGCTCGAGAAACTCATTCGAGATCTCCACCTTTTGATTCCATCCCCATGACAAACACCAATAGCTCTATTGGAAGCATAAAATGAAAAACACAGCCCATTAAGATTTTTCTTTCAGCCGTATCCAGTCAGACCAAAAACTGAAAAAGAAGTGGACTTGGGGCTTGTTCGACTCGGTGGAAGCCCAAATTAATGGGAGTACAGCAGACGTGGAGTAGGCGAACAAACGGGCTCAAGATGGGTGGGATAACAGCGTTAAAAAGGGAGTGGAGTTTCATCTGGAGATGGAAGCCTGTTCATAGTTTGTAGGATAATTTGTTGTTTTGCAGGTAATGTAGAATTGGTCAGTTTACAAAGTTAGTATATGTTTTGGTAAGACATCACATAAATCGGTCTTAAGATTAATGATTAAAAAAAAAAGGCAGTTTTGAGTTTTGTGAGCAAGTTCAACGAAGTATCATCATGTCGGGAAATGGAATCCTTGACGTGCAATTTTTTTTCCTTGTAAACGAAAGTCAAACTGAAACAAAATATTTTCTCAACATTGACCATTTTTTTAACGATAGATATTGAATATACATTTAGATTATAGTGATACTTAACATTAATCATTTATTTCAAGTATATATAGATATTATATATAAAAACGAAAATGTGTTTGTCTTATCTTAATCTGATTGAATATAGAACCGCTTAAGCCACCGTCCGACCGCGCAACCGGTTTACATCCTCAAAAGGCGAGTTTTGCATGGACATATGCGGCGCAATCCTAAGCCTTTAGCTGGCCTAACATTTATTACACCATTATCTTTTTCATGTATAAGTTTGCATGAACATATGCGGTGCAACCCTAAACCTTTAGCTGGCCTATGACATTTATTACACAATTATCTTTTTCATGTATAAGTTTAGCCATCTCGGCTCGAAGAAGAATAGGATACGAGATAAATAGGGATAAAAATAGAGATAAATGTCGCCACAACAGATCGGCGACATCGAGCTCTTTTTCTTTCCTTGCTTTCATCTCAGTAATTTCATTTTGTTCTTTAAAGTTCTCACAAAACTTCACCAACTATTTGTAACTCCCTGAATTAATTGCTCCATAATTACAATTTGTAACTGTTGTCAATCGACGGTCAACAAAATGAAGCTAGAGAATGGTCGACAATCAAGGGTTACCTTCGAACCTCTTTCTATAAAGAGCCTCATCCTGTACCATGTTGCTTTCAACCCTAAGCATCACTCGCAGCCTTCTTTCATGGTACTTTTCATTTTTCTTTTCAGCAGAAGGCGGAGCTGATATTTCTTAAAAAAGCCAATTAATTGGGATCAGTAAAGCTCGATCAGATTCTTGCTAATCTGTAGATATTTGATGAATAAGGGTTCGTCCATGCAAACGAGTTCTATCTCCTCGACTGGTTATGGTCGATTGACACTTCTATCCTTAAAAGGCATGTGTGGGTCCAACTCATTGATCGACTGTATGGGCTCATTCCCGGGGCGACGACCCCAATCACGGGTCAGGTCTAACTCATCATTTATATGGTCCAGGGGTGGATGAGTAGGTGTTGAGGATGAACTTCCCTCCCTCTAGAGGGTGTAAATATCCATGCATGGGATTGCCATGAAGCATTCACGGGGGGCCTGTTGATCGCCATAGTCTGTGTCTTCTCCATCGATAGTAGGGAACTTGAGAGCATAGTGATAAAATGAAGGCGTCGGCCTGAAGACTATGGAGTGCAGATCGAAAAATGATGAAGTTGTACTCGTGACCTGCTCTACAATCTTAAAGGTATCCAAAATAGTTCACAAGAGTGATCCCTGGTTGCCAAGGGTGATAAACAATGTGATCTTGCCAATGGGAAGAACGACCTCTGTAATGAAATGTTGTTGGGAACGAGCTAAAATTTTTTAGTATGAGGTCAAACTACTCTAACGGAGTAACCACCTACCATCGAATATGGCAATGGATCGGCATACGCTGAGATCAACAAAGTCTCATAATGGCACGACTCCATATTTTGGAATCGAGCATTGAAAGGGACGATGTAATCTTTCAAACGTTCATCAACTTTTTGGACGATGTTTGTGATAGACTCCTTGGGAATCATGCATACTTCCGATCCCACATGCAAAACACCGATCACAACTGCTCCCAATTGTAGATCGACCTGGGGGGCAATTAATTGTACCACGGTTGCTGCTTGGGCCCTAGAGTCAAAGAAAAAGTCCAACACCGGGGGCATCACTTGCTCCATATAGATCCATCCATGATGTATGTTATTCCAAGTGAGCATCGAGATCGGTATCACTGTTGTGCAGGCTAAGTTGGGGGACTTTGATTTTGATAGGGAGCACCTCGCTCAAAATATGTGATAAGAGTGGTGAAGTGGGATTTATTGATACGCATTCGGGGGATGAACGAGAGTTGAGATCGACCGATTTATCGTCTCCAAGGTTGGGGAGCTTCCAGCTCGGCTATCCATTGTTTCAGTGAAAGTGAGCTCCTTCGCCTCGTTCCCAATAAATCATTTGGTGATGTGTTGGCGGAGATCGTCCTGCTTGGGGTGGTTGCCCAACTGATTGAACATCGATCGAATGTTTGAGCTCATGTTGGCCTGATTTCGTTCATACTCAACGATCTTTTGGACGATCAACTTTCTGTTTTGCTTTGTCACCTAAGTCATGATGGTCATGAGAATGACTTTCTTGGGATACAGAGACATGTGCTTGGAGAGGATTATTTGTGACTGGATTTTTTTAGAACTATTTTGAGGGTTATTATGGAGTACTTGGGCAAAGAGATCAGTGAGGCCTTCAACAAAAGCATAATTTTGGAAATTTGGGTAACATCTTGATGAGGGTGAGAGTTCCCCTCGTTGTTCTGCCTACTACATGATTTAAGGACGACATCACTGGTACTACCGTACTAATATGTAGATTTTTGTGTGGTAAGTGCGAGAAGATTCACCCAAATCCTTGATTGGACACTCCTTGTAGCACCAATTTTGTAGACGATAATTATTTACCAACCTAATTAAGTACATATACAAGTAATTAGAGATATCGCAAAACACATGTATGAGATCGGTACATAGTGACGAATGAGAGAGAAATATATGAGTATTTGAAAATATTTGAAAGACACGTTATTTAGTACTTTTTTTTTACGTGTGTTATTGTGAAGTATTAAATGCTAAAATTATATATGAAAAAAAAAATGATGGTTGTTTAAATGCTAAAATTATATAGACGCGTGACATGTTTCACCATGCAAAAATCCGACTTTTGATGATGGCACCCGTATTTCGGCTTTTAATGGTGGGACTTGTAGAGTGATTACTTTACCGATTCTTGTTCATATTTAACAAAGATATCGACATATGGTGCTAGCTGGCGGATCGACATTTGGTGTGAGGAGAGATCGACATGGGGACTGTGAGTTCTTGGGCTCTCTTCACGAGTCTAGGCCTGAGTCGGCTTGGGCCTCATTCCAATGTGGGTTACGTACTTTTAGATACAAGCCGATTTGGAATTTTTCAGCACACCAAGTGTAATTTGGACTGACCCATGTAGTCTTGTATTCTATCCGTAGAACTTTTAAAATTATAAAGATTGAATAACTTAAATCATAAATATGTTTAGCAGTTAACAATATTTATATTTGATATCAATTCTTTTTATATAATATACCAAATAAATAGTTTTATATTTTCTGTGTCATAAAATTAAGTCATCTTTAGGACTAAGTAAAAATTAATAAAATTATATATCAATTCAAAAAACATGTATAAATTTATTGCATATGAATTAAAAAAAAATTATAATAAATGACCGAAAAATTATACAAAGAAGAAATATAATTTTAAATATAAATAATAATGTAAATTTTTGAAACGTAATTAAAATTTTTAAAACGTGATTAAATTAAATAAATTATTTCTCACTTTTCTTTTTTAAGAATTAGTATGAATTAGCGCAAAGTTAGTTTTTTTTTTTTTTT